CCCCAAAACCCCAAAACCCCAAAACCCCAAAACCCCGGGGGTGTGAGATGAGGTTGATAATTTTTAGAGTGAGTTATTGGAATTTAATGGTGGGTTGTAGTTCTGTTGGTTTCAGGGAAGGCCATTTTTGCATTGGGGATCCGGTAAGTACGCTAGAAGTTCGACTTGGAAGGCCACTTTGGGCATTAGTTAAGTCGAGTCTTATCTCTCCTGGATTTTGGAGTGCTTGAACATGCTAGAAGGTTATTGTAAAAGTACTATCACAGAGGATTTACTGGTTGCCTTTTTTATGATTTTTCCACTGGCAAAGAAGCAAGTTACTAAAAATTACTGAGGTCGCTTACCTGTTGGAATTAGAGCGATAACAATAAGGTGAGCAAATAGAATGTACAGCAGTGTTGAAGTGAGAATAGAACTCCAGGCTTCAGGAGTGTTTACAATACAGAGATAAAGGATAATGACGGTGAGCAAAATCTCATTGATAGATTCCATTAAATTATCTTTGGTTTCTTTAAGCGGCCTAATTATCAAAATATAGGCCAGATATGGAAGTTGGATTAATAAAAATCCCACAATGAGAAGCTGGGTTCCAATTGCCACACAGAAGATCACAAAAGAGCAAAATAATAGTCTTCTAAGTAATCCGAAGAAGCAGTACAATCTGGCCCAGTTCTTCTCCTTGACACCTGATAAAAACTCTTTACATTTCTTGGGCTCTTTCTCGAACTCATTGTTTAAAAGATAGACTATGTATAATGAAAGCTGGAGGAAGCATCAACAGCAGAAGAACATAGGGATAGAAAACATAACTGATACCTTGGTTTGCATAGTGTTAAACTCCATTCTCATAAAGGCAGAAAAAGCAGATAGCAAGCAATATTGATATGACTCAATGAATGTCCGGATGTAGATGGTAAACGTGAATAACTTGGCCAGGCTATCAACAGAGGCATTGCAAAATTTTCTGCATTTTTGTTTTTCAGTCTTGACCTTTCACTTTGGCATACAGAAAATAAAAATATGTAAAATAGTATACAGAACAATTGATACTATTAATCCGACATTATTGATCAATGAGCTTCCTGACTCCAATCCAATTGCTTCTAATTCGACGGCACCTAAAAATTAAACTGAGAGATGTGCTCACTTACTTTGGTTAAAGTTCATCATTTCGTCCAAATCATTATAGAATGGTACAATAGCTGGCTTTAGAGATAATAATGAGAAAGGAATCCCGGATCCTTCTCCTAACAACATTCCTTTTGGATCATCAGGGATGTAAACTCTTGTTAGAGTAACTAAGCCCATCAGTTGCATCTGGTTCAAAATAGCCCAGACTGCAACAGGAGAACTCATCTTTAAAACAGATGATAAGAACGAAGCTCCAACAGCTACCATTGAAATGTACTGTGAAGAAGAAACTACTCTCTTTCCATCATCAGTCATAAAAAGCTCAGTAGTTTTTGTACACAACGAATCTTTGTCGAGTTCGTATCCTCTATCTCATAAAGTACATACAGTATGGTCTTGACTTTCACATTTTGTACAAAAGTCTAGTTCTCACAGATTTCATACACTGGGGGAAGTTAAACTACCTTCAGTGCAAATCCAGTTATCCTCGACTCTACAGTTTTCGCTACAGCCGTCCCCGTTATCAGTATTTCCATCGTCTCATTCAAGAATTGGGTCGGTTGATGGAAGAAGAATCCCATTTCCTCATACTATATCGCATGTATCGGGTCCTGATGTTGATCCTCCTATTCAAGCATAATCGTCTTCAATCAGAGTACAATCAGAATTACACCCATCTTCATCATCGAGATTGCCGTCGTCTCAGAGTTCTGGAGTGACTTTGATGCCGTCTCCACATATAGAAGATCAGGTATCAGCAGATGTGAGAGATCCTCCAATGCAATCATATCCTATTTCTATCAAGCAAGTGTTGCTTCAGCCGTCGTTAGGTGAATCATTGCCGTCGTCTCAGAGTTCTGGAGTGACTTTGATTCCATCTCCACATATAGAAGATCAGGTATCTGCAGATGTGAGAGACCCTCCAGTGCAATCATATCCTATTTCTATCAAGCAAGTGTTGCTTCAGCCATCATTAGAAAAACCATTGCCATCGTCTCAAGCTTCAACATGTGTTTTTATTGAATCTCCACAAACCGATGATCAAGTGTCTGCACTAGTAGGACTACCGCCTAAACAACTGAAGCCTGTTTCTTCTGTACAAGTAGGACTGCAGCCATCTGCCGGATCCTTGTTGCCATCATCTCAGCCTTCTCCAGGCATTTTTATTCCATCTCCACAGATAGGGTTTCAAACATCAGCAGATGAAGGAGTTCCTCCTAATCACTCATAGCCTACTGCGATTGTTCAGTCTAAATTGCACCCTGGGCTATTAAGAAATTAGCTTCACCGAAGGCAAAAGTCTTTCCCAATTAAACTTCATAATGATTGGTTTAAAAATAAATAAAAATAATAAATTAAAGAAACACTTCAAAGGAGAATTCAAATCATCCGAAACTTACTAAGTAGCAATATCTAATTGTCCATCATCACATTGCTCAGAAGGCTTCTTCAATCCATCTTTACAGTATGCCAAACAGGTGTAGGATGCATCAATGGTTCTGCAAGAGTAACCTGGTTCTACTTGGCAGGTGCTAGAGCATCCATCATCATCAGCAGTATTTCCATCATAACATACTCCAGGTGAAGCCTCACATGATGTACTTCAAATATCTGAAGATGAAATACTTCCTCCTGCGCATGAATATCCTGGCTCAATCTCCATACTCGAGCTGCAGCCATCTCCATCATATGTGTTTCAATCGTCTCAGTCTTCCCCAAGAACTCTTTTTCAATCTCCATTAACTGCAGTTCATACAGTAGGTGTAGTGGGTGAGATTTGAGTTCAAGTGAATCCGACAACGAACTCTCAGTCGGAATAACATCCATCAAGGGGTATTAGATTGCCGTCATCTCATTTTTCTAGACCTTCCAGAATCCCGTTTCCTCAGGTCGAGAGGGACCCTAAAGAGTTAATGAAAATTTACTGTGAGAAGGAAGGGTTGAATAAACTGAGACATTTTTCAGACAGTCTTTGGAAGATTCATTTCCTCATGTATCATCTTCAGAGTTGGTAGAAGAACAGACAGCCAGGTTAGCATTTTCAGGCAGATCTACAGTAACTTTGCCAAGGCCCAAGGATTCATTTGTCTTCACCAAGTTGCATTTTTGTCCTTCTTTTTGTCAATCGATGGTAATCTTTCTTAATTTAATGTCTAAAGGAAGGATCAGAGTATGCTCTTGATAATAGCTTATGATAAAGTAGGTAGAACATTTAGCTCTATTTCTCGCTTACTATTTTGTAGTTCGAACTCTTGGAAGAGATTACTGTTATCGTCTTTGTTTGGATAAGGTTGAACTTGATGTATTTTTCCTTCTTTATTTCCATAAAACTATAATAATTTAAAAAATTTACTTCTTCATGATATGAATTTCTTTCTCTCGGTCCTTGGTTACACTGATATGCCACGACTTCAACATACAGTTCTTCAGATGTAAGGAAATCAAAGGGTCTATCAAACTGCAAATATCTAAACCTTGTTAGAGACTTCAAACACTATAAACTTACGATAGAAGCAAGACTTCATTATTTCCTACTTTTTCTACAGAAATTATTACTCTTAAATTACCTGGAAGGAGGAGTCTTGGCTGGGCTGCTTGAAGGTCAATAACTTCACTGCCATCCATCTCATAGCCTCCTAACAACTGTGCTTGTGTGAGCTTGAGCAAGAAGATCATTAACACAAATTGAGCAACCTTGAATTTTGACTTAAAATCCATCTATTAATAAATGTGAGAGAGCAATTTTGGATGGAATAACTGCAGTTTAACTCTCATATAACTCAAAAGGGGTAGTAGTATTATTCCCTGATACAAATTTATTACACTTGTTAAACTGAGGCTTACAGTTCTAAAACTACAGCTTTAATATTTTCATCTAGGAATCTTTTTAAAAGAACTTTGACAATATTCCAGATAAACTCAGATAAACATGTGACGAGTTATTAAATATTCTCAAGAAAGTAATAAAATTTAAAATGGGCCTTCAAATTGGGCATAATTAGTATCAAATATATCTGAGAGTCGTCTCTCATGAGCACATCGTTGAAGTTGCATTACAGGAGCAATTCTTGAGATTAGTATCTAATGAGATGGAAGGAAAGAAATTAATATTTTTAGTATATAATAAACTGTCTAGCATTTTAGGAAGGAAAGTTTAGAAATTTTATTTAAAGATCTTTTGAAATCTCTCTAACTTCAATGATTTTGGAAAATTTGCTTATCTTAATTTTTAATCATTTCTCAATACAAGATGCTTGGTCGATATTAAAAGATTATTCGAATTTTTAGACTTAACTCGGAGTCCGAGTTTCTGAAGATCTTTGAAAACAAAGTACCTGTAAATGCTTCCAATGAGATGTAGACCTATTTGATTTCAATTCCTTTTCTGTATCTCTCACTGTGTCTTCTTCTTTCAATTTCGAATTTCTTTGATTCTTGGAAATTTTGTGGCAGATTCTAGAACAACTTAATTAAATTTCCGAAGAAAAAGGTGGTAGTAAAAACGTAAAAGAGCAAAATTTTGGTATAGGTTTTTTCGCTTTAAACTAATAACTTTCCAAAGTTTAGTTAGCCTGGAAATCGTCTGTGCTCTCTAAAGCCATTTATGTAAGTTTATCAAATTTCTACACTTTTCAATAAAACGACTAGGTCAGGTGTAAGATCTTATATTGGCTGTTTATTTGCGATTGCATGAACGAGTCCTAACTTGGAAGACATAAACTCTCTGAATAAACCTAGCACTTTTATCAGCAAAGTTAATATTTTAAGGACTGCATTGCTCTAACAGAAGGCTTGTACAGTCAAGCAACCCAGGTCATATTGGAATGCTTATTTTAACGATTAAGAACTTAAATTAGAAGCCAGAGCCAAATGCAACTTAAATTTTGGGAGTTATAGAATCTAAATCAGGGAAGAAGTGTCTGGAATTTGCTTAGGAACTTTGGTAAAGACCTAACATTAGAAACTCTTTAGCTCCTTGTTTAATGGATTCATAAATTTTAAAATTTCTAGGAAGAATAAATTTTCAGAAGTCATAAATAGTACCTTCTGAAGATAGGGAAAATGCTTGAAAAAGAAGAACTCGTGTCTCATATAGATGATGAGACATCAAAAATATTATAAGTTTGCCGAATTCCCATTTTATAGCTAAGTTTAGTTAGAGAGCACATTAGGGACTCAATTCGATTTAAGGTTTACATAGGTAGTGAAAACATGGCCTAGGAAATTTTAAGTTAGAAGGATTATTTCAAACGATTTTAACATAGAGAAATATTGACAAGAAAAAGGTGAAAAAAAATGTTTTTATAGTTTTTGAGACGCAGCAATAAGCATAGTTAAAGATCCGGAGAGCAGTCAAGGCTTTAGTTAATTTTAGTAGTATTGAAAGAACTCAAGAAACTCAATAATTATCAGAAATTGTTTCTAATTTTTTTCGAATTCTTGAGATATGTGAATTTTAAGCTATCTAAATATACTTTAAAACATTTGGAACTCATATTCGAATTTTATAAGTCTTTCATCTTTGAAAAATAGGGATTCCTTTATCTTTCTATCCATTTGTAGCTCCTATTAATTACTATTAAAAGAGTTTCTTTGCTATCTTATCTTTCCTACTTGGTCTAAATATTTCCACACCCAAGAAGACAGTTAAGTTCATCAACGAGAGTGTAAATTTCAACTTAAAAGCAAAGTGTTTAGTAAATTACCTCCTGCAAATGTCCATATTTATTGTTTTAAACTTTTAATAAACACTTCAGTTTAGGGGTTTTATACGGGGTTTTGGGGTTTTGGGGTTTTGGGGTTTTGGGG